TTGTGTCTGGATGAGAGGGAGGTGGACGCCCAGGTGCTAACCCCCCACCCCCCCGCCTCTCGCAGGTCTGTGACGAGGAGTGGCATCACTACGTCCTCAACGTGGAAATCCCGCGGGTCACGCTCTATGTAGACGGAGTTTCTCACGAGCCCTTCTCGGTGACTGAGGAGTACCCGCTTCACCCATCCAGGATCGAGACCCAGCTCGTGGTTGGCGCTTGCTGGCAAGGTAACAGGCATGGGCACCCCTTCTCCCCAAAACTCGGGCAGTCAGTGATTCTGTCTCCTCTGCCGGAGGAAGCAGGCTCTTCTCAGCACCTCTGCCTCCTTTCCTTTATCTTTTCACCCCTTTTCCTGGGCCCAGTCTCTCTGGGGCATCACCGAGGCCGTCCACTGATGGGCGCTCACTGCAGGTGCGCTAAGGGACCCTTCCTCGGAGCCTGGGAGGGAATGTCGCACAGAGGACGGGTGTAACTGAGGAACATTGTATAAATTCATCAGCTTGTGGAAAAGTCTGTGAAAGCATGGAGGCAGCCGCCAGGCACAGAAAGGCGGTGTGCTTTGGCCGGGCAGCGCTTCTGGAGCCGTTAGCGCTTGACAGCCTGGTGGGGACACCTCAAGTGCCATGTTTGAGAGGGTTCGTGGACATCTCTGCTGGATGACCAGGGACGACTGTGATGATAGCCACCAGGGCAACAGCACCCTCGGTCTGTGCTTCCCGAGTGCAGGCCGTGTGCCGATGGCTTTACATAGTCATCTCGTTAACCCTTCCAACGCGTCTGTGGTGGGAGCTGTTGGATCCCTATTTTACTGAAGAAACCGAGGCCCTGAGCAGCAGGGAGCCCTGTTCCCAGCTGAGTCATCGTGGCGCTGGGGTTTGAGCCCTGAAGCCGCTGCGCCAGGGCCGAGCTCTGACCTCTGGACCAGCGGTCATCACCTTTCCTGTGCCTGGAGCCCTTACCGTGGCCTGGGGAAGCCTCTGGACCCCTCCTCAGGTTTCCAAGGGAACCAATTAAATTGAAATGCAGTTCCCCAAGTACGAGCAGACCAGAGGTGTGGAATGTTCACACTACTGCTCCGTGAGCCAGAGAGCAGGCCCCGCAGCAGGCCCGATGCCCGTGTGACTGCCAGTGGCCGGGCTGTGGCGATTCCTGTGGCGTCGCCGCAGTGCAGCCCGACCGGGAAAGAGCGGCGCTTTCTCCGGGCCAGAGTCGCAGTTGCTGCTAATACCTCTGGTTCGTGGCTGACCGTTCACAACCAAAGGAACACGAACTGTGAGAAGTTGGTGAAGAGAAGCCTGTAGTTTTTCCCAGTCGAGTTAGGGATCCCTCACTCCGCCTTCGCGGCTCGTGGGCCCCGCATTGGCCCGTGACTCGACTGCGTGGGGTCCCTGCAGGCACCTGCTAAATGGGTCTCCTGCTTCCTCCCTGTGGAGACTGTGCTTTGAGGCAGACATTTGTGAAGGAGCCTGATTTCTGAGACAGCTTTGTTTCTGTTATGGGAATTTGAATTTCATAATTTTCCTGCAGGTCCTTTCAAATGAAAAGGAGTAAGACAGTAATGTAGAGCGAACCTCTTCGGTGAATTCCCCTATTTAATTTTGGTGACAGTTTATCCCTTAGGAAGTGAAACATTGAGACCAAGGAATGAGGAATAAATTATTAGGGATACGGAAATTTTTAGTTGCTGTTCTTAAATTTTCCGTTCAAATTTGCTTCCCAAAGTAAACAAAAAATTCTGAGAAATTATCGTAAAAATACAAACTCAAGGGCAAACCTAAATGTCACTTTACATTCTGGGAGCTTTGGTGGTTGGGTTGAAACGTCCCCCTCGTCACACCCTGCTGTCTTGGGACCCTGCTCACGGCAGTAGTTCTGCCTTCAGATGGCCATTTTCACCTTCATCCATTGCTTTCTACCTCGGTCCTCAACGTCCTCAGCCAGAAAAGGCTGCCTAAACTCCCAAACCAAGCACAACTTCGTAAAGATGTAATTAATAGGGAGGAAGGTCTCCATTGCTCCTTGCAGCGGATTTGAAACCACTTCCATGACAAACTCCCATGGAGAGCCGGGCTGATGGCATGGCATGGAGGAGCCACGGGAGCCCTGAGCGCTCCGGGCTGGAGCACAGGGCGGCTCCAGGCTGTGAGCACAGGGGCTCCGGGCTGTGAGCACAGGGCGGCTCCACAGCCCGGCCTGGGAGCGGAAGTCCTGTGCTCGGCGCTGGGTGTGCCTCTCCAGTCGGACGCTATCGGACCCTGGACCCCTTCCAGGGGCGGTCGGTGGTCAGAGCCCAGGCCCACCGTGGGTGATGACCTGTTTCTCGGGGGGAATTCCTTAACTTCTGACTCCCTCCCTGTTTGGTAAAAGTGGTTGAAAATGCCTTCTTTTCTCTGCCACTGAGAGGTTAAAGTCTAGAGACCTACGTGAACTGGTTTTGCGCTTTCTGAAGAGATGTACTTTTGCAAGCCCTGCGTACACCAGCTCGTGGGCACTTATGCGGCCCTGCCGGTAGGACAGTGCGGGCCGGGGGTGGTGCCGAGTCAGTGCCGAGTCGGTGGTCTCTGCGGTCAGTGAGCGCCTCCTCATGGCCCCCAGCCCCCCAGGCTGAGGAGATAGCTCAGTGTAGAGGCGCTTCCTCATCTGACTTTGAATCCAGCCTCCGTTTTGGCCAGGAGGGTGTGGGGAGGGGGAATAGAAGAATACCAGGAAGCTGGGGTGGCAAATACCGCTTCTGAGAAAAGGCGATCAAGTACAAACCTGCTTCCAGGCTGAGGATGTCCCCAAGGGGGACACGGGAACTTTTCTCTCAGCATTTTGCCTCTGGTAGCTTTTCAATAGGAATTTTCAAGGTCCACTGTGAAGAGCCTAACCTGGGGTCCTCTCCTGTGTCTTTGTCTTGCTTCTCTGCAGAGTACTCAGGAGTTGAAAGTGACAATGAAACTGAGCCCGTGCCTGTGGCCCCGGCAGGTTGCTGGACTTTCCCCCTCTGGTTCACTGCTTTTCATTTAAATACAGACGTCCAGTCATCGCACATTCTGCATGAAATGCCCCATTGCATTTTGGTCCCAGTCACCATCTGAGCTGCTTTGCATTATCCCCCCCGACCCCCACCATTGCTTCATGGGGTTCCCTTTTCTGCCTGTTCTGAGCCCAGTTACAGTGAGCAAATGACTCTAATGCAGTGCACTAATGGGATTTTTATTTTTCTCATCCAGTTTTACCCTGATGCCACTGCATGAGACTCCCTGCAGAAATCTCAGGCCAGGTGTGGGGGTACCTCCGGGTTCTCAGGTGGCTGAACCACGAGACAGGAAAAGATTCGTTTTTAGATATTCTAACCTGACTGATACTAAATTCTGTTTTATTTTGGTTAAGCCTTATCCAAGGGTATATATTAGTGAGAGTGGAAGGGAGGGGGAGAGAAACATTGAAGTGAGAGAGATGTATCAATTGGTTGCACCCCGGTGGGCCAGGGATCGAGCCTGCTACTGAGGTATGTGCCCTTGACAGAGTTCGAACCTGCCACCCTTTGGTGCACAGGCTGATGCTCTAACCACTAAGCAAACTGGCCAGGGCAATATTAAATTTTAAACATGTTTCCTAGAAATCTCAGTCCCTAGCAGTGATTTATAGTGTTGTCTAGTGTCCTTATTGGGAATGAGACCTGCTGCTGAAATTGGTGTCTTCTCTGTCAGTGGAAGAACAGGTGTAGGGGTCTGTGCTACAGTCTGTCAGGGGTCAGTTTCTGGGTTTTCGTTTTCTGTCCACCATCCTCACTTCCCAGTTACCCTCAGTAGCAGGAGACGGTCATGATGGCACTCGGCACAGCCACCTGCAAGGCTTGATCCGGGGCTTGAGTGCATCCCTTTCTCTTCCTAGTCATGCTGTGTGGTCCCCCCCCCCCCAAAAAAAAATGTGCACATATCCCTGAGCATGCTCAGAAAAAGCAGCCCGAGTGTGAGCCAGCTGGCTGACACGCAGAGGCTGGAGCGAGTAGGACGTGTCACTTGTGCACCGTGGTGACAGGTGTGGGCTAGGCCACCCTTACCAGTGAGTGGCCAGATGTGCGGGACACTCATGGGCTTCCAGGCTTCGGGTGAGGGACCCCCGAGTCCTCTTCTCTCCTGGCCACATGCATGATCACAAACGAGTTAATTTCTTCATTGCGCTTCCATGTAGACTGCAAGGCTAACAGGATTTGGTCTGAACTAACCCGCATGTCCATCCATCAAGCTGCCACCACCAGTAACACTGCGTTGAGAAATGAAGCAGGGGCTCTGGGGTGCACCCCTAACCACCTGCCTTTCCCCCCCGTGTTCCAAAGGTGGTGACCTACATATGACCCAGTTTTTCCGAGGTGACCTGGCGGGCCTGACCATCCGGTCTGGGAAGCTCACAGACAAGAAGGTGATTGACTGTCTGTACACCTGCAAAGAGGGGCTAGACCTGCAGGTCCCCGAAGACGGCGGCAGAGGCGTGAAGGTAACACTGGCGTGCACCTGGCTTCCAGACCCAAGGAGGGGGCTCTTGGCAAAGGATTGATCTGTGATTGGTCTTGAGCCGTTTAAACTTGTAACATGTCTGACACAAAATGTGTGGGTTGTTCCTCTCACACTAGCCAATTCCCCAGCTCTCTGGACACCCACTCTCCCGGCGTCCAGCAACTTAATTCTGACACTCCCTGGATTTAGCTTCAGGCTTCACAGTGAGGGCTCAGCCCACTAGGCTGCCCCCACTTCAGGGCCCGTCGCAGGAATCTGCCCTTGGGTTCCCTGCACTTCTGTTGGCTGAAGTCCGGGCTTCCCACAGTCTTCACACCCTCCCCTTTTTAGGTTCAACAACTTGCTGGAACTGCTCAGAAACAGATAACATTTTACTTACTAGTAACAGTTTATCGTAAAGGCTACACCAGGGGTGGGCAAACTTTTTGACTCGAGCGCCACAATGGGTTCTTAAACTGGACCGGAGGGCCGGAACAAAAGCATGGATGGAGTGTGTGTGAACTAATATAAATTCAAAGTAAACATCATTACATAAAAGGGTACGGTGTTTTTTTACAATAGTTTTATTCATTTCAAACGGGCCGGATCCGGCCCGTGGGCCGTAGTTTGCCCACGGCTGGGCTACACTTAGGAAAAGCCAACCAGAAGGGATGCACACGGCAAGGAGCTAGGGCGGGCTCATGAAGCTTCCACGCACTGCCCAGGAGTATCGCCCTCCTGGCATCGCCCATGTTCACCAGCTGGGAGCTCCCACCCTGTTGCTCAGCGTTTTTATGGAGATTCCGTCACGTGGTTGACATTGCCCATTGGTGGGCCACTCCTTCCACAGTCCCTCTCCTGTCCCCATAGCTCCAGGTGGGGCTGAAGTTCAACTTACTACGTGGTTGGCTCCTCTGGCAACCAGCCCCCCATCTTGAAACCAGGGCCCCACCAAGAGTCACCTCATTAAGTAAACTCTGGGGTGGTGGGGCGGGACTTGCTGTGAATACTGAAAGATTCCTGTCTCAGGAAATTCCTAGGGTGTTAGGAGCCTGTGCCAGAAACCGGGACATAGACCAAATACGCCTTCTCGCACCACATAGGTACTTGTGCGCCTGAGAAGGTGCCCTGCAGGAGAGGGTCTCGGTCAGCGGAATTACAGGAGTTTTCTCTGATTTCAGCTTCTCGCAGTCAGAACCTGACTCCTCCCCTCTCTCCCTTCGGCACGATTTCAGGTCCAAGCCAACCCCGGCCGGTCGGTGCTGACGGTGGAGGCGGAGGACGTGGGGGAGCTGGAGAAGGCCCTGCGGCACGTGGCCTACCTCAACTCGCGGCAGTTCCCCACCCCCGGCGTCCGGAGGCTCCGGCTCACCAGCACGGCCAGGTGTGTGCTGGCTTTCCCAGGGGCCTGTCTGCCCCCTGGCACTGGAGGAGAAATGTGTGCACTTCGGTTTTTAAGAACCCAGCCTCCCTCTGTAAGAAGAGACAAACCGTCCCTTGTTCCCCGAGCATCTGAATGACGTCCGTGGGTGACAGTTGGAAGCAGGCCTTGGGAGCGGCCGCGTCTCCTGTTCCTGTGGCAGCCCTGTGTACCCTCCGTGTGCCTCTCAGAGCCCTGACCTTCCCCTCCCC